ATGTTAAATAACAGCTAATTAAGCACAAGGCTGGTATCCGAACCTCAGTCTGATCAGACTATGTTAACTTGAGCTCTGGGCTGTCCAACCTCCTGATTTCTTGTACTGTACCCTACTTCTGCAGATTATAGGATGTGGCCCCCAGAAGAGAGAATCTTACCTGGTAAATCATGGTTCACATAGGCTTTTGTGGATTAGCCCTAAGGACTTTATAGCTTGATTCAAAAGATTTGTTTCTATAGGGAATTTTGTGACTTGCTACCAAACAGGTAGAATACAATCTTATGTTACAATAACTTTGGAATTACCTGTAATTACAATTTAGCAGTACTCAAAGTCTCTTCTAGCTAGTTAAACCCACTTTACCAGCCCAAGGTCCCTTCATGTTTAGTTTTTCTTTCCTCCTTTTTTTCTTTTGTTTTGTTATTTGCTAGAGAGTGCGTGTGCTCACTAGAGAGAGACAGAAAGAGAGAAAGAAGGTTAGAAAGCACCACCCATGGCAATCTTCTTTGCCATTCTCCTTTTGGGATTTTGGGTACTCATCCACATGTGCCTGGCATGTTTCTCAAGTCGCTGGGTCCAGGACCTGAACTGTGCAGTTGGCCAAGTAGAATTCAACTGTCTCAACCACCATGCCACCAGCTGGCTCCCTGTTTAATTTTTCATGTGTACTGCACATGTCCATTCACTGAAAAGTAACTTTTGAAAAAAGACACTTTTGCCCATTAGCCTCATTGAGACAAGTATTCCTAGCACCTAGGACAGTGCCTGGCATGTTATACTGGTATACATGAACTATTTGTTAGTATATAGATTTAGATAGGAAAAGTTTAAAACCCCATGTATTTTATGCTTTCATCTGCGAAATGCACTTAGAATCAAGATGTAGACTATGACTACAATGAACTAACCTTCAATAAATACAGATGATCCTGTGCAACATCGTTTTGGTCTTCCTCCTACACCAAGTATTTGCTCTCTTCCATACAAAGTGTGCTTAAGTGGGAAACTGCCTGTGGCTTCAGCAGACCTGTCTCCTGTCACCATGCAACTTTAGCACTTTAGACAAACTGCTTTCTCTCTTTAGGTCTTAGGACCAGAAGGGGTTTCTTTTCAGCTCAACAATGCTACAACATCTGTGAGCTTCACCTTTTATGTTCCTCGCAGCTACTCCTATCACCATTTGGAGAAGATACAAACAAAAAGCAAAATAAAGTAACAGGAATAGCTAAAGAGAAAAGTCTTGGATGCCCAAAAAGGAAAATCATGAACCTTTGAGTTTAGACAAGTTAGAAGTTGCTATAGGAGGCAGTCTTGGAGCATCTACTTTACAACCAATCTCTAGGCAAATACGTTAGCCAAGTAGGAATTCTCTTTGGTTACTTCACACTATGATAATACTGAGAATGGTATCCTGGATGTTTAGTCTACACTGGAGCCAGCAGAACACACGCAATCTCAAAGGTGAGTGTGTGGACTGGGTACAGTGTAGTCCCCCTTTGAGAAGTATGGAATGACTTTTTTTTGGAGAGTTTTTTTTTTGTTTCTTTTTTTTCTTGCTATAGGGCGCGTGCGCTTGCCAGACAGACAGAGAGAGACATAGAGACAGAAAGCGAGAAATCACCCCCCAGGGGGGATGGTCACGCCGCAATCCCTTCTCCTCCATTCTCCTCTCGGGATCTTGGGCACACACGCACACGCGCCCGACGTGAGTTTTAAGCCACCAGGTCCGGGATGTGAACCGCGGTCGACTATGTGGGAGTCCAGCGACATAGCCATTACGCTAACTGCTGGTTCCCGAGAAGTACGGAATGACTTTTAATGTGACGTGAAGCATCTTTTGCTCACTCAGTTAACAAGCTTTTTGAAGAAAACTAGAGGGACCAGAATTTATGGTACTTTCTATTTTCAAATGAATGCACTGACTTAATGTTTTCCTTCATAAGCTTTGACTAGTTGTGCTGTGTCCAGTGCAGGAGATAAATGTCAGCACGGTGACGGGGGCATGTTGACACTGGTTGAGTGTTCACAGTCTGCACACCGTCAGTTTTGCCTTCCCTGTCCTGACAGCTTGCTACCGAATTGAACATACCTGGAAAGAAGTCAACTTGGCTTAGAATGCAACTCAGTTTCTCTTTGGGAACATTTCTCTTTCTGGTTTCCTCTAGGATCTATTGGGTCTTCCCAAGAATAAAACAGAATTGAGTGTGTTCTGCTCCAATGTAAACAGTCAAAATCTGGTGTATTGATGACTTAGCATCAGTTATTTTTTTGGAGAGGTTTTTGCTATAGGGCGCGTGCGCTCACCAGACAGAGAGAGACAGAGAGATAGAAAGCGAGATATCACCCCCCAGGGGGGATGGCCATGCCACAATCCCTTCTCCTCCATTCTCCTCTCGGCATCTTGGGCATGCACGCACATGCACCTGGCGTGAGTTTAAGCCACCGGGTCCGGGACGCAAACCGCGGTTGACTACGTGGGAGTCCAGCCACATAGCCATTATGCTAACTGCTGGTCCCACCTGGCGTGAGTTTTAAGCCACCAGGTCCGGGATGTGGTTGACTACATGGGAGTCCAGCAACATAGCCATTACGCTAACTGCTGGTCCCATGACTTAGGATCAATTTTGAAGAGAAAACCCTATAGCGTGCTCTGCCCCCCCACCCCCCAATCAGTGGAACTGAAGTGAACTTGCTTGCTTTGTGACTGGCTGTATGCTATGTGGAAAACCCTATAGCGTGTTCTGCCCCCCCCCCACCCTCCAATCAGTGGGACTGAAGTGAATTTGCTTGCTTTGTGACTGGCTGTATGCTATGTGAGCCACAGATGTTCTTAGGGTATTATCAAGCCTCAGTGAATCATCCCGGCTGCACATTAGACTCACTTCAGGAGCATCTAAAAATCTAGATGCCCAGGCCACACCCCAAACCAATTAAATCAGAATCTCCTGTGGTGAAGTCCAGCATCAGTAGTCTTTAATGTTCCCCAGGCAACCCCAGTAAGCATGGTCTGGTCTTGTGACTCTCTTCCCAAAGTACAACAGGTACAGGGGCATGAAGGCCAAGGGATAAATCACATAGCCACTGGCATTTTGGAGCAGAAAGGTCTCCCCTTACGTCCACTAAGTTCTAAAGTAAGTAAGTAACTTGCTCAAAGTCAGAGTTAATTGAAAGCAGAGTCAAAGTCAGGAGCCAGTATTATACAAGCCTACCTTGACAAAATACTAATAATAAAGTCATTAAACCTCCATAAATTAACCAGTTTCCTAATCAAGAACATTCATTTTTCTCTCCTGGGTGTCCTGGTTAGAGAGCAATTATCTGCCATTCCGTTCCTGTCCCTGTGGCCTAGGATGTCCAAATGAATGAAAAGCCAGTTATTCAGTTCTTATGGGTATTGATCTGAAGACAATGACACTAAATGATATTTATTTATATTTTTTGAGAGGTTTTTGCTATAGGGAGCATACACTCACCAGAAAGAGAGAGACAGAGAGACAGAAAGTGAGAAATCACCCCCTATGGGGGATGACCACTCCAAAATCCCTTCTCCTCCATTCTCCTGTTAGGATCTTGGGCATGCACACACACGCGCCCGGTGTGAGTTTAAGCCACTGGGTCCGGGACTTGAACTGCGGTTGACTACATGGGAGTCCAGCGACATAGCCATTACACCAACTGCTGGTCCACTAAATGGCATTTTAAATTTAGGTTTGTATTGGCAAGGCATTTATATATACTAAATCTGCAATTGAGATGAAGTGTTGAAAATAGGTTTATATAGTTAATTGACAAAAATTCTTGAAACAGGTGCTTGAATTTCAAGGGATCAATCAAGTTCTCTTTCTAACCTTAAATCATTCTTTGAGTCTTAATTTGCCTTATTAAAGAAAACATCCTTTTTCTCTTTCTTGAGACTGTGGAAGAAGATGCTTTTGTTGCCATAATTAAGCATAAAACAAGCATCTCCCATTTAATGGGTTGCTCCCTAGCTCAAGACCCCTGGATTTGGGAGACTCTTGGCACATGACTGACTTGTGCCAGTAGCTTCCTACTGTGGTTTCTACTGAAGAATGTTTCAAGTGCAAAATAGCTGGAGGAATAATTCTGGGGGGAGGGGGGTGTAGAGAGAGTAGCCAGGGTGACATCCTGGCAGCTCACTGTTGCTTTACTTTAGAGTATGTCAAATTTTCTATTGCTACCCTTGTTACCTACAAACCTTCCCCTATCTTGTAATGTAGCATAACTCATTTTATACAACCAACAACTTTCAGAAGCATGAAAGGAAAATTATATCCACAGTTGCATGCCCTCATTGACTTGCTTCTAAGACGTTAATTTTTGAGAGGTAAATCGCAGACTGACTTTTAGTAAGAATAATTTATCTTTTCTTAAGAGTTAGCATCGGCATGTGTGGAGTGAATTACAGTTTTCCCCTACAGTTTCAGCCAGCCTTGTTTACCCTTCGGTCTTTCTAGATCCGGGAGTTGTTCAGAACAGATTTGACACTACCCAGATGCTTGTTCTGAAAAATCGAGGCCCTCCTGCGTTTTCTCTGTCTCTGGCTTGGCTTTGTAAAAATACAGCCTCTACCCTTGCAGGCGCAATTTAGGATGAAAGTACAAGTTTTCGGAATTAAGCACAGCCAGGCAACAGCAAAAAAGCTAAAGGATGAGGAAGAAAACAACAATGGGAGTGTGTCTATTTGATGGGCAAGTGGAGAAAAGGGGACAACCTGTGGCGAGAGAATATTTGTTCATCGCAGCGTTAAAGGGACAGAATAAAAACTGGCGGGCAAAGTCATTTACAGGCAACACAGCTGGAGCCTTCGGGCGACAGCGGGCAGCCACACACCCTTGGGGGCTTCGGCGCCCCGTCCCACTTTGCTCGAAGGTTGGGAGGCCACCCTGCAGTGGGCTGGCGTGGGGTGCGTGCGTGCGGCGGGCATGAGTGAAAGGGATCCGCTGGCGGTCCCCCGGCGGGGAGGGAACGGTTCTTACAGTCACTGCTCAGCGCGAAGGGAGCGCGGCGGCGGCCGAGGGAGCGGTCTTCGGCGGGCGCCTCGGGAGGCCTCTTACCGGCGGGCAGCGGGAAGGCGGACGCGGTGTGGAGCAGCACCAGGCAGACAGCCACGACATCCCATAACTTCATCTTAGAGTCCCGTCCGGCGGCGGCACCCACGCGGCGGGAGGGAGGGCGAGCGGCGGGGGAGAGAACCGCAGAGTGCACGTTAGGCCTGGGCTCCGAGCCCGGGGCTGCCCGGGCCGCGGCATCCCGGCGGGTCCGTGTGTCCCGCTCCAAACTCGTCACCGCCCCCCTCCGCCACTGCGGCAGGGCCGAAGCCCGCGGCCCCTTCTCCCCCGCCCGCCC